GTGTTCTCCCCTCAATTAGGTGGGAGCAAACTGAAGGTAGAAACCATATGGTAGACGTCCTCGTATCCTCCAGGTGGCCTTGCCAAGCTGCCTTCATAATGTGAGCTTAATGAGTATTTGTTAGAGTGGACATTACTCATCCTATGATCGCTCAGGAAAGATCAGTGGGTGGAAGAGTACAGTTTGTCCCTTTCTGATGAGGATAATTATAGAATTATACCGCTAGACTATCACTAAATAAATAGCACGTTTTTAGATGCACACAGGTGATAAAAAATTGGCAGTTTTCAGGCCTTATCATTAAATGTGATCTTGACAAACTAGAAAAATAATATATGGTCACAATGATTTCTTAAACACAATGTACAGTGTACTTACAAAATGAAATAACATACAGCTACAAGGTGTAGTGTAAATAGGTACTGCCGAGGCCCACAGTACCCAAGTTTTATAGCAAATAATAAACCAAATTGTCCAAAATGTTTTTGTATTTTTTTTTTTTTGGTACCAGGAGTTGAACTCAGGATCTTGTGCTTGCCAGGCAGGCGTTTGTGCCACTGAGCTATATCCCCGGCCCTGAAGTATTTTTAAATTAGCTAGACTGCTAGTATGATGGACAGATGTTCATGCATTCATTCATCCAATGACTTGAATACCTACTATGTATAAAGCATCCTGCCTGCATGCTGGGGATGACAGTGAGAAATTAGCAGGATCTTGTCCCTCAAAGAGCTCAAGTTTTAAGGCAGAAGACAAAGACACATACACACTGCTCAGTTACAGAGAGAGAACTTATTCAATGGCTGAGTCATCAGTCAGGGAACATAATCACCATGAAGGACATCTTTGTAGCCCACCGGGACAGCTGTGTCCAATAGATGGCAGAGGGCCAGTGCGGGCAGAAGCATTAACGCTGATGGTACGAACCGATGGCCAGAGGCTGCTTCGCCCTTAATTTGTCACGGCAATGTAAGTGAATGTTTTTTTTTGTTTTTTTTTTGAGACAGAGTCTCGCTATGTAGTTCAGCCTGGCCTTGAACAACTCACTATGTAGCCCAGGCTGGCCTCGAACTCATGGTGATCCTCCTGCCTCAGCCTCCATCCAGCGCATGGGTTCTTGGAGAACACAATTAAGCGGAGAAAAATCTCTGAGATGACCGATTCCAGTTCTGCCAGCCCTTCCCAAACAGGGGTCTCGCACACCTTTAATTTCACTTGTGCACTTCAGAAAAGCAACATTTCCTGTCAAGGGTCATGGAACAATTTAAAGCAGGTTAAAAATTCTTAAATTGTTCTGAAAATTTGCATAGAGAACACACATACCCGCAAGAATATATTAGTAGATACTTGGGGAATTTTGTAGCTCCCACGATGAGTAACTCCTGTCAGGGGAGGAGTGATACCCTTGGAACTGTGCAGCGTGTGGGTCTTGCTTGTTGCCATGAAGAAAACCAGTCTGAGGACCAAGGGAGCATAGAGGAGGGCAGGAATAAGAGAACACAGGAAACGTAACTGAAACTCTGATCAAAAGCAGCCTGAAGCTCACGCTGACCTCACACCAAACAGACTTCCTTTGTACAACGTCACCCCAGTTCATTAGAAAGGAAGAACTCAGACTGACTCACGCAGCCCGGAGCAGTTGCCCACCTCTGCGGCCAGAAGATCAGAGGACCCTGCTTCACATTTACCAGGAAGGGAAGAGCAGCTTCCCAAAATGCAGAAGAAAGAATAGTGGCCTGAAAAAAGTCCCACGGAGAAGAAACCTCTCGGACATTAAAGTCTTGTTGTCAAGCTGACGCGGACAATGTAACCCTACATAAGGCTCTAGAAATGTTTATTTATTTATTTATTGCGGTATTGTGGATTGAATGCAGGGGCTCATGCATGTTAGGCAAATGTTCTACCATTGAGCTATATCCCTAGCGCTTTTTTTTTGTTTTTTGTTTTTCTTCCGGTATCAGGAATCGAACTCACGACCTTGCGCTTGCCAGGCAGGCGCTTTGCTGCTGAGCTAAATTCCCCAGCCCTTCCTAGCACTTTTTGATGTTTATTTTGAGACAGGGTCTCACTAAGTTGCCAAACAGGTCTTGAGCTTTGCAATCCTCTTGCCTCAGCCTCTGGAGTAGCCGGGGTCATAGGCATGCACCACCGGGCCAGGCAACAAATCAAACTGAATGTGCTGGTTTCCTTAGCGCTCTGCAGCGATGTAGCATTTCTGGGTTGGGTTTGGGCAGCTGGCAGAAAGTATAAAGACCGTTTCTTCAGAGACAGTACAATAGAGTTTTGGAAAGAGTCTGCTAGTAGCACCTGGCAAACAGGAGCAAGCAGGAACCTGTTACCTATGGTCCCCTCCTCTCTATAAATACACTTACGTCTAGTTTGTTTGGCAAATACCTTGAGTCAGTAGTACTGAGCTATTACTACCAAGAATCTGGTCTCTAATATATTGTTGCACAAAATAAGACTACTGATAATTCATGAAAAATCTGATTCTTTTTGAGTAGTGTCAATATACCAAAATGGTTTCAGTGGTTTAACAGTGACACACAAACTTAGCAACTAGAAAGTCCCAATATTATATATACTTGGTAGTAGAGAAAAGCTGAGGAAGTGAAAACAAGATAGAATTTTTATTTTTTTTTTTTTAATTCCCATCAACTAATGAAATTCCCCTCAGGAAATTTAGGGACTTTAGTAAGATTCCTAACTCTAGCTTCTCTTTTGAACTTAAGTTCTTCATCTTCTCAGCTTGTTCTTACTCATACAGAAAGAGAATGACAATAGTTGAATGCAAATGGTGGAACTAAAAGAACTCATCTTAATATGAATACATCTTTAAAAAAAAAGATTCTACTGGTTTTTGAGGACCCCCGCCTCCTTTTCTAGAAATGAGGACAAAGGAATAGAATTATAGTTGTTGACTGGCTGAAGCCAAGTTCAGAAGGTTGCCTGATGCAGACCTGTGATCCCAGTCCTCTGGGAGGCTGAGGCATGAAGATCCCAAGTTTGAATCTAACTTGGGCATTGTATTGACTTTATAATAAAAAACGGTGTGAGATGCAGCTCAGTGCAAAGGCCCTGAGTTAAATTTTTAGTCACACACACACATACATACACGAAGCTTGCCTAAGGCCAGGTTTGGACAGAGTCTCAGCCTGTGCCACAGGGCAGAATCCCTCCTTGTTACCAAGACTTTGACATCATTAGAGCTTTGTTCTCATTGAGGGCTTTAGAAATTAGATATTCAATTAATAGCAGCAGTAGGAGCAGCAACAGCTGCTGCCCTTTAGACACCGTACGATCAATAAATGTAAGTTAATGAGAATGTATTTCATCTTCTGTCCACCCAGAAGCTGAAGGCCAATGCTACGCCAATACTGTCCTGCTATAGTAAGACTAAGATTGTAACATCAGTAGCATTGAGTCACAAGGTACTCAAGATGTGTTGGAAAAGGGCCTGCTGAGCCAAGCGTGGTGGCACGTGCCTGTAACCCCAGTGCTCTGGGAGGCTGAGGCAGGAGAATTCCAAGTTTGAGCCCAGCCTGCGTAACTTATTGAGATCCTGTCTCAAAAATAAAAAGGGCTGGGATGTAGCTTACAGCAAAGGGCCTGGGTTTAATCTCCATACTAGCCGGTGGCGGTGAGGAGTTGCTGATTTGTTCAGCAGTTCATGGTTTTTTCTTATTGCACGAATGGTTGAGTCTACTTAAACAACTTCTATTATTGCAGTAGTGTTTCCTTATGTATAAGGTAAATGTCTGAGCTAGCGGTTCTCAAATGTTTTGAACTCAGGACTTTTTTTTTGAGACAGGGTCGTGCTTTGTAGTTCAGGATAGGCTTGAACTCACTATGTAGCCCAGGCTGGCCTCAAACTTGTCGCAGTCCTCCTGCCTCAGCCTCCCAAGTGCTGGGATTATCGGTATGTGCCACCCCACCCGGCTCAAAGAGCTTTTTATTCGAGGTTTGTGTGTGTGTGTGTGTGGTTTTAGCTGCTCATATTTGACATATTAGGAATTAAAACCGAGAAGAAGAGATTCGTGGGAGACAGCTCTGATGGGGTGGGGTGCCTGGGCCTCTCGGCTACTCCTTCCACTTTACCTGAATGTAAACCTCTTAAATCGGTGTAAGAGACTGCTGCCTCCCTCTTCGTCACTCATTCAATGAGTGCCTACCGAGGGGCGATGAATATAAACACCACTCACTTCGGTACCACTCACAGGGCTGTACTGGTTCGAAGAGCTTTCACTTTTGGTATTTACTTTTGACCACAATCCAATGGGGTAGTTGGTTTTATGTTCATTTTACAGATGAGAAAACCGAGTTCTACAGTGATTGCGCAACCGGTCACATCCGTTCAGCAGCTGAGCCAAGAGTACCTCCGAATCACGGCCAAAGTTCCCGCCTCGGACGACGCTCGCTTTTTTACGGGGCATAGTAGAGCAGCCGCGCAAGCCTTCCCACATCTTTAAAAGCCTTCCTCCCCCGGGGAGAGGGGCGAGGTCTGCGCAGCAGATCCCCTAAAGCAGTCCTCGCGCGGGGCCGCGCTCTGTGCAGCGTGAAGGGGGCACGCGGCAGCATGGTGATCGTCCTTTGCCAGACGGGCTCCAGGCTGCACCTCCGAGCACGCAGACGGCCACCCGGCTCCGGTCCCGGCGGAAGAGATGCGGCCGCTGAGGGACTGAGACCCCGCGGTCCTGGATTGGAAAGGCGCCCGCAGACAAAGAGACAACGAAGTTAAGTTCCGGCGGCGTGATGGGCAGGGTGCGAAGCGCGGCCTCCCTTCCCTGCTTGTCTGGAAAGGCCTAGTCCACCGGGTCACCGCACCCGGAGCGGGTCTTCCACCTGCTGGGCCCTCCCGGGACAGTCCGCGCCCGGCACGCCCGACGTTCCCGGAAGGAACTACGAGTCCCATGAAGCCCGCGGCGCGGGCGGTGATGACGACGCCTCCGGGGATTGGTCGAGAGTGCCTGGGCGGGGCGCAGGGCGGGGCGCGCGCGCGCGGCGGACACGCCCCCCGGCTGGCGGCCCCCTCCGCGCTCTGCCCGCCGCCTCCTCCCGCTCCCCGGTCAGAGGGCCGGAGCGAGAAGATGGCGAAGACGTACGACTATCTGTTCAAGCTGCTGCTGATCGGCGACTCGGGCGTGGGCAAGACCTGCCTCCTGTTCCGCTTCTCCGAGGACGCCTTCAACACCACCTTCATTTCCACCATCGGTGAGGGAGGGGCGGCGGCCGGGGCC